GCAAACTGGACCAGAAACGGCTGGAACGGGTTCAGCGACGAGCTACTCGGCTTCTCTATGAAATGAGGCGCCAGCGATACACTGAGAGGCTCAGACTCCTTCAGTTGTCTTCGCTGTACTATCGTCGTCGTAGGCGAGACATGGTAACAGTGTGCCAGCTGTTTCACGGAGGTATGTCGCTATCGGAAGAGGAGTTCCTGACAAGACACAACTCGGAGGTGACGAGAGGACACCAATGGAAGCTCAAAAAACCTCGAGCTAGGACTCTCGTCCGTCGTAACTCATTCAGCACGCGGGTTGTCAAGGACTGGAACGCTCTTCTTCACCCGGTCGTGTCGTCGACCTCACTTGAACAGTTCAAGTCTAGGCTTGATACGCACTGGGCTGACATCATGTACGACGTCCGACACTGAATCTTCCCATAATTTGAGACTGTTTGGTTACCGGACCGGGAGCCTGACGAGACCGGGACCTACAGGCCTAGTGGCCTTTTACAATTCCCGATCACCATAAGGTAAGGTAAGGTAAGGTAAATCGTGCTCATTTCAATGCGTCGCTGATGCATTACACCTGCCATGCAACATCCTCCATCTATCCATGTTCAGAGCGTGGTGTTGTATTTAACAGAACCGCGCAAAGGTACTGCAGGCGAGGTGCATTGGTCTAGGTAGCTTGGCTGTAAAAATTGTCATCAGGCGATTTCAAACAAGCCGAGATGGATGTATGGACTGATATTCGGATTACACCACCACCGCTGTCACTCTGAGCTTGAAGCGTAGCGCCACCTACTCTCTACTTCACACGGCAGCCGCTAGGGTACTCCCCGCGCGACATCGCGGATCAATTAACATTCGTGCCCCACTATCATCAGAAAAAGTTGTCCTACGTTGGCGGGCTGACAGCTATTTTTGATTATTTCTGCTCAGTCAACCATCATAAGGGAAATCTTAGCCTGCCATTGCCAAGCTTTCCCTGGTCAGTCCCTCCTGGCCCTTCCGCGCCCCTGGTTGTCATATGCGATCCGGCTGGGAAAGCTTGCAATACGAATTTGGATGTAATTGCCCAAACTCTAAGGAAAGGAGTATGACGATTTTACAACGTTGGTGGCAATAACGTCATTGAATCAATTCACTATTGTGCTATGTCATAGGTACTTTGCAAACGGTTACCTCCACGAAACGTCTCCAAAACTTCCGTCTGTCCATCCCGTTGGCTCATTTGGTTAGAGTACCTGCCTTCCGATCCACCCACCCGTGGCGGGGTGGGTTCGAGTCGCTTTGGGCGCTCGCTATTTGGCCTTCACAGGTATGACCTGCGGCCGATGGCAGCGGTCGCGCTAAAGGTCAGTTGACGTCAGAGGGTGGGACAGACCGTGCCGAGCATTGCGGCACGTTAACACGCACCCGGGTGGCCGGCTAGATACCCTTCGCTCGGTTGGGGCGGGGGGGGGGGTCAATTTGACCCTTTCCCCTAAGATCTCGGGAACTAAGAAAGCTAGGGACACCAAATTTACAGGGTGTCTTGACCTGTACGTGAACTCACTTAGGTCAAAGTTTGAGGACTCCTAGTTCATGACCTTCAGGTCAAATAAGCTCAAACAAGCTCAAATTCCAGGTTGGTCCTCCAAAGTGCTCCCAGAACCTAGATAACTGTTTCCAAGCAAAAGGTCACAAGTCCATTTAAGGTCAGTGACCTTTTTGACCTTTTTGAAGATCATGGTGACCAAAATCATAGCATCACTGCCTTGGGTTTTGCATTTGAATAAGCGACAAAGATTGCGCTAGCCAGTATGTTCATGAAAACAAAATGTCGAACTGGGTCATCTCAGGTCAGTGACCTGTTCTGACTTCCAAGAAGCCAATGAAAGATGTATGATGCGCTTCCTGCTATCAATACATTCGAAATGATCAACAGAAACTATCCAATACAGCATGCCCTAAGGCGATAAAACAGGTTAGTTTTGAGCTTGGCCTGACCTTCGTATCTAGCCTTAGGTCAGCTTAATTTGCTCATTCAATATTTGTGTTGCCCAAGATAGCATCTCAAAGATGGCTTCGTCAAACACTCTGTTATTGCATCAGATTGAACGATTCCCCAGAAATTGCCTTCGCTGAAACCATGGCCTGACTTTGACCTGCCATAGGTCAGCGATCTTACAAGGTACTGTCTAAATTTGTTACATCTAACGATCCGCTATTCAATTTTCTACAGCTACACAAAATTTCGCGGGGCAATGCCGCGCCGTTCGGAAACCATTCTGGAAAAACCTTTGGGGGGAGGGGTCAATTTGACCCCGAGCGAGTGTTAAGGTATGGCCGCGAGGTTGTCATATTTCCAAACCGACAAATCACATATATTTTGTAGACATGGGGGTAGGAAAACCTTACCTTATGGTGTGATATGGCCCTGACCTGGTATAAACTTGATCTGGTCTCACTGACCTTTGTTAGCATTAAGGCATGATTCAGAAAAGTAAGAACACGCGCCTTTGCTAGCCTTTTGCCATTTGGTGCCTTATTCCGAGGCTGTAAAACTGCCATTGTGGCCGCCCTGAATTCGTTCCAACATTTTGGCGCTTTGTATGCCTGGTGGCACGACATGTGAGGCATCATCATCGTAGCTGCAGTTATGTGATCGGTTTCATCTCAGATATTCCTAGCGACGAGATTATGGAAATGCTATCAATTGCCGTTTGGATCCGCCTATCAATTGCATCTTGAGATACCTGAATGATTTTATCCCCCTCCCCCGCGCGGTTGCATGTGGCAAAATACTCTAGGTGATATCGTGTTCAGAACTTCATCCAATCGAACCTTGAACTTTGCATGGAAACAAGTATATCTATCATGAAAATTAAAATATTTACAATGGAAGCAATCATATTTAGAATAGAAATAATTGTCTTCACAATTTCGTGCAGGCGGATGGAGCCATCTTCAGAGAAATGCTGCTACCATTGCTGCCGCTGTACGTCTACCACCGCGATCTACCTAATTCTGGGATAAAGTCAGTTTTGTATTTAAAAATGTTGCTTCTTTAGAAGACTGTATGCCATATTATGGAAAACTTAAAGGCGGCGCCATCGTTGGCTGCAAAGCAAGTTAACTTGTCAAAAGCGCAACGATCCGGGCTGAGCTGAGATGAGTCAATGAAGCTACAATATTTCTGTTCATTTAACATTGCAACATAACATAACAGCATAACATAACAACTAACATTCGGACTTGTCCAACCTGCGACCTTGTTCGTAACGGCTCACTTAATATCACTAACTCTTGTCGGCACCTAGGGCTGCCGACTCAAGCGCCTCTGCATGGACGCCGTTCCTTGTGGACGCGGCTCGTTGGGCTGTGAGGGACGTCGGGCGCTCGCTGTGAGCACCTTAGCCGGGACTATGCGGCGCTCAGATGCAGGCGGCGCCGAGGTTCCCTGAGTTTTACGAGGTGCTGTCGCATCGCGTTACAGTACACTTTGTTTTATGTTGTCGGTAAATGGGCACGGTGTAAAATTTTCAACATTGCTGCCACGTCACCCTCGGCTAATGACAGCTTCTCAAAGTTGAGCCACCTCAACTCGGCCAGAAAGACCGAAGTCTGCTGAGGATCGTATCAACGCACTTGAACACAACACACTTGAAGGTGCGCGCGAGATGATCAGCAGCTTTTGAACAGGGTGCCACTTAAATACTATTGTAGACTCCCACGCTGGCGGGCAATGCTGCAATTGACGATCAGTGCCAAAATGATGTCTGCTTTGAGTTTTCCGTTGATTTGTGTGAGCACCCTGAATACGTCAAGTGCGGACATAGCATCACATTTATAAACCGAAGGGTTTTACCGCGAAGTTAAGACGATAAAGCCTAATAATGTTGACATTATCAGAAGCTTGACTGTTGGTTACACCAAAGCTGACCGAGAACCTGCCCACCGCACGCTGCTGATGGAAGCTGATAAGGACAACGCTGGTTTTCGCGGGGCTTATATCGAATATTTAAACGATTTTGAACAAGTCAAGAGCCAGCCCTGGCCGGGTTCCACTTCATACCATCTGCAGCTGAATTGAAGAGTTTGCGTCACGAGTATGGAACACCGTCTGCGTGCACGGCAACCTTGTTATCAGTAAGACGAGATCGAATATTATTAGCAAGCTATAAAGATTACATCGGCTCAAAATTTGACACCCGGGCCAGGCTGTGAGACACTGGCAGTGCTTCATTTGCATCACACACGCTGACATCATTTCATCACGCCACTTTTTTGTCACACCATCACGCTTGTAGCAAAACGTGCTCGACCAACAGAGGCCATGAAAAGTTATTTTCAACTTTCAATTTTCAACTTGAGAAAAGTTACTTTCAAGCATTTGCAGCTGATATCTTTGCACACGACCGGCACATTTGATGTGTACCTTGACGTGACCACAGTATTGACGGCTTTGGTGTTCTAAGGCAAAACGATGGTGGCTGGATGTTATGTGAGGTACGTTTATATGATTATTTCGGTCCCGCGTCGTGTTTTTATCACATTTCAGCTCAAACATTTTTAATGGGGCTTTTTTCCTTGTATGACCTTTCATTTATCAGGATTTGCAGACACTATGAGGTGTCTACACATAAATTCTGGAGTGGAACGTATATTTTTAGGTAGCTGGAACTGAAAAGTGTCACGCAAACATAGTTTTCTGATGGGGTGAGGATCCACATTCGGATGCGTAGACCCTCACATAGGCGGCTAACGTCTTAAGCATGCGTTTTACTCGTTCCCCACATAAGTTTCCTGTGGATTCCTACCAAGAGGCTGCACCAGGTAACCCGAACGCTTACCCAAACGCGGCCCGTCACCAGTCGCGTGTTGACGTTGCACCCTCGTCGCGCCAGCCGTACAGCATGCCGTGCCGGGGAGCCGTCGGCAGGGGTGGCGCGTGCCTGCGCCGTCCGCAGCGCCACCTGGGCCGGCACCGGCGACGGCGGGCTCCTCCGCCGGCGCCGGCCGTACTGGTCGACCGACGCCCGGCTCGCCAGCACCGACACGGCGCCGTCCCCGTCGGCCGCGTGCAGGCCCGTGCGCGAGTGAGTGACGGCGAGGGAGAGGGCCAGGTGGACGGACGGCGACAGGAGCAGAAGAAGGTGAGTGCCGCGGAGCGCCCGTCCGCGGCCTGTGCCGTCCTGGCCTCGGCTGGCACGGCGTTGTGTTGCGGCGATATTACGTGAATTTTTAACGTTTAACGTGGTACACCCCAAACTAAAGAAAACTGGCCATGATATAAAGGTTTATATTAGCATGGAACACACGCATCAACCAATCCCAGTGGTCAATTATTTTAAAGAGCGCATTCCTGGTGACTGGTAAAATCAAGCAGGTTTGTTACCTATGATTATGAGCCTACTCCCTGTTTCTGCAACCATCCTTACAAGTGTCGCTTCGAAGCCAGTGAAGTTATTTGAACTAACATTTACCAGAAAGTGTAAGTGCTGGGGTGGGTGCAGAACCCGATTCTGGGTCGTCAGTTCATACGAGGTGCACGCTGAGGAAGCTCCATCTCGTGTAACACGTAGTCAAGTCATTTCTCGTTCTGGTATAGGCGTCCAGATAGATCAGCCCACCGGATGCCACATGGTATGTGTCGGCTGCCAGCTGCTCGCTCAGACCGGACGATAGTCAGTCTTGCACCGGATGATGGTTAGTCTTGGATGGGATGATAGTTTTGGATCAGATGACAGTCAGTCTTGGATCGGATAAAAGACAGGCTTAGATCGGGTGATAGTTATTCCCGGATCGGATGATGGAAGTCAGTCTTTGATCGGATGGTAGCCAGCAGCGAATCGGATGATATTCTTGGATCGGAGCATAATCTCGGATCGGATGATGATGGTCTTGGATCGAAGGATAATCTCGGATCGCGTGATGTTATCAATCGTAAACAAGTCCCGGTCGTTGCAAGCTGAGCCCGTGGCGTCATGCATACGACGATCCTAGTGAGACGGTCCGGGAACCGCCCGAGTGAGTTCAGAACGTGAACCTGTTGGCGTAGTCCTGAAGGAAAATGGATGGGGCGAATTTTGCACGCTGTACGTTGTGTTGAAAGAGTCCTGACTTACATAGAATCTGCCAGCATGGTTTGCTGGCTTTAGAAGAAGGTTTAAGAAGCTAGAAGCGCGCCCTAAAGCGGGAGATGAACCGCGAAGCACATATCTCCCGATCAAAAGACTTCCAGTCCAGACTGAACGCTTCCACTAGATGGCCATCATGTCATCGCCCTGATCCATCCCCATCGGACACGATTGGAAGAGCGATGCACAATTAAGTGCGGCAAACACGGTCGTTTCTATTGAAGCCGCGGCGCGGCCTCAGTGTCCAATTCCAGATTTGGTCGTGCCATTTGAAAGCATCGTATGCCATTGTTCTACTTCTGGTCAGGGTCTGCCCCGTTCCGCGTGACTGGAGCAGCCTCAACTTACGCTCACAGAAACTGACTCGCCGTGAATCTCATCACCGGCGGGGCTGTCTGCCATACAACCTCGCGTATGATCCATCCTCTCTGATACCGTGCTGCCCCGTACAGGCCAGACTAAGCTATAGCTAGCCGGCCGGTACTCGCCAACACTTACCCTCTATTCTCCATAAAACTGTTTTGCTCTTCCTGCCGACTTACATTCCTTTTGCATTCATTTTCCCCTGACGTCCTTGGCTGAAATCATCACGTGCGCCCGTAAGGCAGCAAATCGCCTCAAGTTATCAACTCTCAGAAAACCAAGATTTTCCTCGCCTACTAAGAGCCTGCGTGCCCTGCTATCACTTCCGTAGCTTCCCCGCCTGTTAAGAATGTCCCGCATTCTCGACACTAATGTGCGCACCGGTGTTTCACATTCCATGTGTGCTACGTTGGCTTCAGCTGCTTTCTTCAACCACTGCAACGGAACGCAGCGCAAGGCGTTATAAATCCTTTTTGTCGGACATCTGCGCATTTTCACTTTGCGGCGAACTGATGTTCAGAAGTGTTGCTGCGTTTCGGTGCCGTCCCACAGACCTACCATAAATTATCATGCACGCCCACCAGCGCGGTACGGTACGCGATTCGGTGTTTTCACCATTGTCACGTGACACCCATCCGTCGAATCTGATATGGGCGCCTCCTCCGGAGCATCACGGTTCCGTAATTATTTTCACGTTCAGCGCGGTGTGCTCCAACTACTTAACACAGCTGAACGCCAGAGATTCTGATATTTTCAACCCACGCCCGTCGAACGGCGGGATCAATCTCTTCGGGCGATGTGCTCCAGAGATGCGAGAGCACGGCCAAGTCGGCCCCATCCAGGCGGTCGCATGTAGCGGAAGACATCAGGCGTTACCTGGCTAACTTCGACAGGAGGAAGCACGAGGCGACAGTGTGTCAATCCTTGGAACACCCTGCGCGTCGGGCCTTGTGGACGCCGCTCTTAGAGTCGTCAGTTGAATAGAAACTGCATGGCTGGCGCGCCCAAGCGGTAAAGGATATTAGCACGCGTTTGATACGGTAACAGGCGAGCTGCTGTTGTCAGAAACCGTTTGAGTGGCGTCAGGTTTCCGTTATTTCGTGTCTCTCTTCGATGCGACGCGTATCCCGCTCACTCTGACAGTCCCACAAGCCTGGCACTAAAACCCGAAAACCTAGAACAGAACTGAAATGTCAAATTTAGCCTGCAGCACCCACAAGTTCCTCTTCCGGCTCACCGGCCCAGACCTACCTCCACAGCCCACCGCGGTGCCACACCCCCGGGGAGCACGCCGTGCCTCGCCTGACCTACTAGGGCCGTGCACGGGCGGCCGTGCGCCGTGCGCCGCCGCCGGCCGCGAGCGTCCGCGTGGCCGGGCTGCGGCGGCGCGGCCGGGCGGCCCATCTGTCGCGGCCAGCGGCGTAGCGGGGCGGCCGTGGTGGGCCGTCCTCCAGCGCGCGGCCCATCTGGCCCGCGAGCCGGACCGTTAGCGCCCGTCCTGGCGCCGCCCCTGTCGCACCAGCTGCCGCCCTGACCCGGCTGACCCCGCGCCGGCTGCCGCCTGACCCGGCTGACCCCGAGGCTGCCGGCGGACGGCGGGACGCTGGCAACTTCCAGCTTCCGCTGAGACATCGAGAACGCTGAGCTACGGATGCTTGAACTGAAAATATGGAAGTGTACATGTGCCATGCTGTCTCTAAGCAGGTGTGCCTAAGGCATTGCGGCGGAGAAACGAAGCGGCTGGCAGAGATGTTAAGAAATATTTATGGATTATCATGTTGATATAATACCAGGACAAGTACAAGCGCGCACGAGGATAAACACGCATGCGTTCGGGTTTGCCCCGGAGCTTACCAAAGTATCCGACAGCAGTGTAAAGTGGGCTTAACTGGACCCGTCATGGGTCTGATGAAGACCATCCTAATCGCATGGTGCAAGGCGCTTGCGCCAACATTATGTGGGAACCACTTTGCAGATTGCTTGCAATCTAGCCGCCAAGTGCAACGCGTGTGTGTATTTTATGCTCTAACCACTACCTCGCCGGGCCGATGTACGTTCTTACCTCCAGCGGTACGCGTAGCGGCTGCGGTGGCAAGCCGGACAGTGCGCCTATCCCGCTCCGTGAAGTCCGGTAGCCCACCGTCTGAAGTCAGCTTCAGGTCTTGCGGCCAGCCAGCCGGAACATTAGCTCCGCCTGGGACTATCAGCCGGCGACGCGGCTTCTCTCGACAGTTTGGCGAGAAGACGAAGGCGGTGACCTGACCATGATACTGACAATTTACTCGTCACGTCTCCCCGGCTGGATGGCTGATTACCACTGTCCGAAGCTCGTAGATTAAAGCAGGCAATTTCCATTTTGGTACCGCTAATGTAGGTCCTGGGGTGAAGGACCCCGCCACCACCAACTGGCAATATTCGAGCCCGTGAGATTGTTTCTTCGCTTGGCAACCGATCCGTCGCCCATATGTTTTCTTTCCGCGCACCGATGGTGGATGGTAGTTCCTAGGGCCATACCAATATAGCCGGTCATTCTTTTATGTGAAAAAGTCAGCGGTCAGCACAGATGTTTAAAGAACAGAGAAGTTGCCAGAAAACTGTGGCCAAAGTCATAGTCCTGCAAGTAACACGTATTGCAGCCTTTTCGTCTGGAGACGATCCGAAATGATTTGACTGAGACGATGAATTATTCATTCTTATCAGAGAGGCGAGATTCTTCTTCGAGCAAGTAGGTGAGCGACTAACCTCACACGGTAGAGCTAAAACAGCCAAGGAACCAGATGCTGAGGTGATAGACTATACAGTCGACCTCCAAGTATATCGCAGCAAACGATTTACGATGCAGGCAACAAATGACCTTCTTGTCTTAGTTAAGCCAAGAATTTCCAACACGTCAGACTTCTTGTAACATTCACGTGAGCAAGAAGATGCTCATTTTTATCTGGTTGTCTTGTTGGATGTCCAGTTTTTTCCTTTGAGCTGATCCATACAGAGATGTGGTCTCTTAACATTTTCTGCGCAATTTCCATTAAGGAACGGTAAACTGCTGTAAGAAATCAATGACTGAAGTCCAGCTCTCAACGATCTGTGTCTACCGCTTAGGGCAGTTTAGAACCCATGGTTTATAACCTACGTAGTTTATAACCAGTTTATAGCCTACGTGGCTGGTGAGAGGGTGCACGTGACTAGTAATGCATCGCTTGGTGAAACGTGCGAGGTGAATAACTGCATATACTCGTAAATCGAAATAATCCCATGGGTGTACTTTGTCTGCTGCATTTATGAGCTTGTGGCAACTCAGGAACTTTCCCGCAAATTCATAAATACACGACACTAAAAATGACCATGGAAATATTTAGATCTAGGGCAGATACAGTTGTGCAGTTATGTCTTCTTTGGAATCTGAATGCACTCTTGGGTGCATTTGTGCGATGCATTTCTGAATTTGCAGCAGTTTAGAATCATTGCAAATGACGAATCTGGGATAAGAAAATTGCTTAAGTGTCAAAAAGGACACCAACATCATGATCTAATTAGTGCACACATAAGTGCAGTGCAGCTGACCTGCGAGCAGCCAGACGACGCCCGCTGGCAATGCCTTCCCGGCTCCGACCGGGGAGGCGCTGCGGTGTCGGACGTCTGGTGCAGTGTCTGGC